GAGTCACCAGGTTGCATTTCAAATAAAGGCTCAATGTAATGAACTTTTTAACAAGAAATGGCATCACAATTTTTGGAGCTTATCTCAGCATGTTCCTGTTCAAGCATTTCTTTACAATTATTTTCTGAACCATCCTTTACACTAACAAATCTAGATTCATCATCACGAGCGAAATCACTCGCAGCTTTTCCAACTTCATCAGTTTTTTGACAATTAACTTTAATTAGGGCATTTTCAACTATGTTGTCAATAAATGACTGAAGACATTTGGTGACATCACCTTCCATTTTCACATCAGCCATATGGTGAGCAGGAGCGTCAGTAATACTTGCCACATCGTTAGATTCTTTGTTGATGCACCTCTCCTGGTCATGGATTCTCACCTCTTTGTGATCTTTGTCTGAGCTAACATTACATCCATTTTCAAGCACATTATTAATAGATTGTTTTTCATTAACTGACTCAGAATCTTCATGATTATCATCAACATTCGTAACTTGAATATCAGATACAGGATCCTCCTCAGTGCTTGTTGCTCCTTTGAATACTGTGATTTTAGTCTCAAATGCATTTGGGTTCAGAGAGAGCCTTACATCTCTGCAGCCAATAGAATCCTACAGAATAATCAATTATAACAAGTCACTATACTTGGTTAAATTAACATTTGAGGACGCACAATTTTTGTCTCATCTGAAATGAACCTGAAATGGCAAAGAAAACATGAAAATCGTAATAAGACAACTGCAAGTCAGCCATTATTAAATCAAATCATGTAAAATAATGAGATGCATAAGTATTCTACCATGAGTGATGTTCATTAAAATTGAATGAATTTGGCCCATACATGCCTGAGTAATTGATGAAAGTCTGTCATTGAACAAACAAATTAAAAACATAGTTGAACTCTGGTGACCTTACCCTTTGTTATATAATATAATTCCCTTTAATTATTTTAAGGAACATAATTTCCAGCTTTATTGAAAGTAATTGAGATATTTTAGAATAAAAACAAATGTCTCATTGCAAAAAAAAAGTGCTGCATTTAGATGTGAATAGATTCATAAAACATGCAAGATAACAGAAAAATTTAGCTGGCTTTAGTCCAAGTATTTTGTACAGGTGTCTGTCAAAAATGAATGATTCACTGAGACAAATATGAACTGCCTCATTGTGTGACTACTGTATTATATGAAAAGTAAAAAAAACACCCTTTATGAATAGCTATCATGTTGCAAGCTCTGCTTTGTATGCAAATCAACTTAAATAGTTGGTGTCCAGTGGAGGGAGAAGTCAACAGTACTGTTGCCTCCTGAGAATCTACATCTTCAAACACTGCAATCTTTGAAGTGCGTTTTTAAACCAGTATTATAAAAACTTTATCATTCTGTTCTAATAGCTGAAACATATTCCTGCGAGTTTTCATTTGTCGAATGAATTGTTTGTCAAATACAGAATACATATATTTTAGAATAATTTTCTTTTTAAAATGTGGATGAAATGTGTTGCTTTTAATGTATTTTTTATGTATTGTTTTTGATTTGATAACTTTGAACTAAACAGATTTTCTATTAGCTCAGATCTTGATCAAAGTTAGGCACCCAGTTCATAGGAGTCCTTATATTGATCTGACATCTTGTTTTCTGTAAAGATTTTATTGGTAGGTTTGCAAGTGTGTATCAGACTGTGCAATCTCTCCATGAGTTGGTTTTAAAACGCAGTATGGGATTTTGAGATACATTACCAAGGATATTATTACAAGATAAATCATTTGCTTCATTGAACACATACAACAATGCATATTTCCACTGAGATCAGTGACCTTTGATGTGTATCACCAGTGATCAGTTGAGTAGAAACAGTCAAAATATTTTATCAGATTTTCTCAATTTTTGCATGATATTTTCATACAGGACATCTGTTGTTCAAACTCAGGGAAGACTTTATACTGATGAATAAGGTGACCAAGTTTGATGAAGTTTGGAATAGAATTAGTAAAGTTATTATGCACACAATAACAATTATTAACGATGACGACGAGGACGTCAACGACAACGTCGGACAAAATTTTTCCCTTAATATACCTTTCCCTTCCATCTTTGATGGTACGAGCAAGGTAAAAAGCCATATAGTAGACAAAACAATACATTCATATGAATGCCATATAGTAGACACAAAATACATTTATAAATTCCATATAGACTAAACAAAACATTCATATGAATGCCATATAGTAGACAAAACAAAACATTCATATGAATGCCATATAGTGGACAAAACAAAACATTCATATGAATGCCATATTGTAGACACAAAACAATACATTTATATAAATGCCATATCGTAGACTAAACAATACACTCATATAAATGCCATTTAGTGGACTAAACAATACATTCATATGAATGCCATATAGTAGACTAAACAATACATTCATATGAATGCCATATAGTAGACACAAAACAATACATTCATATAAATGCTGTACTGTAGACACAAAACAATACATTCATATAAATGCCATATAGTGG